AGGGTCTTGTTGGTGTTTCTAACCTTCTCCAATGCGCTTGATCAGCCGATATTGCTGTCGGAAACCTGGAAAGGTGTCTTGGAGTTTCGCCATGTCGTCCTGGATGCTGGGGTCTACAACTTGAATGCCGTCGTCTGAGCTCTCTGAACACACCGAATCCTGGTCATCGTCGTTGTCATGGTCATGATCATCCTGTTGCTCCCCCTCGGCCTCGGTAACACTGCTTGCTTCGACTTCCTCGTCGTCGTCGACGTCGTGGACATCATGGTGGCCATGCTCGGCCTCGTCGCTCATTTCGGTATCCTGGGTGGAGGGCGCATCTTGGTGTAAGCGGAAGTGCTCTTGTTCTCGTTGGCGACGTGTTGAGGTAACGGCAGCCATTCTTGTAGTACACTAACACTGGAGCCGAGAGTGGTCAGGGCGAGTTCGAGCGTCGAGAGACCAGCAAGAACCAGCGCGAGGGCCATGAATTAAAGAAATAGGAGGAGTGGCCTGTTTGTTTTGTGGATTTTGTGTATTTTGTGTAGTCTAGTCGGTCAAGGTATGTTTAGTGATTATAGCGTAGTGACGGAATGATTTTGGCGGTAGGGACATGTGCACGGGCCATTCACCCATGGAAGACGCGACTTGCACCCAACCAAAAGTTGAAACAGCTTGCAGGCACGCGTCGAAAGTCAACAAACACCTCAGGTCAGGTACCGGCCCGTTGCTAGGGCCCATCTCCCCCACAACTACCCCACTGGAACCACTGTAGCACAGCGCTGATCCCGTCGCATTCGAGGCCCGAGGATGGAAACATTCCAATCTTGACCAAAACACCATTACCGGGCATATACCCCCGCCGACAAGGCGACCAGTCCAACACGATGGACTCGATAAACTTCGACATCAACAATGCGCTCAAGCATTACATGGACGATCCTGCCAGTATCCCCACACCAGAAGCTGACAGCGCTCTTGTCGACTGCGAGAACGAGCCCGAATCCCTCGCCGACAACGGCCTCATCAACAGCATCCTCAACCCCATTGTCGACGCCGTCGCAGAGAACCCCGACGCCATCACGCGCGCCCACATCTTTGACTCGTTGCAGTTTCTCCTAAAGTGCGCTTCCATTCGCTACGTTCCGGTGTCTTCAGGCGCCAAAGGCGACAACATCTAACCAGACTCGATACGTAACGTATGACCAGACAAGGCCTGACTAACAAGCTTCGCTTTCTAGGTACACCTCCTTCCTATCAGCCCATGCGCTCAGCAAAATCTTCGACCTCATTACCTCAGGTCTCGCTGCCGAAGCCGACGTTGTTCATCACGACCTAGAAGCCGAAGAACAAGAGCTCCTCGCCCACCACAAACAGCTGCTCGACATATACGCCTTCCTCCTACAATGGACCATCGCCGGCGTCGAGGCCAAGGCCGCAGAGAAGGCTTCCAATACCGTAACAAGCAGAGGCCGCGGAAAGTCAAAGAAACCCACAGCGAGAGACGGCACCTGGGACTCATCCGCGCAACTCGAAACGGCTCTCAATACCATGGTCAAGGCTCTTAGGCTGAAGCTCGCCAGGATATTCATGACCACTTCGGAACGCGACACCTTCATTGGTCTGTTGACTCGACCCGTGTATATGATACTCGAGAGCGAACAGCGGACCAAAAACACCAGTATACGCATGCACTGCTGGAAGGTGCTGTGTGTGGCCATCAAGCACCACGGCCACGGTTATGCTGCGCAAATCTCGATTGTCCAGAACTTGACCTACTTTGAGCATCTGGCTGAGCCCATGGCCGAGTTCCTCCACATCTTGGCCGAGCAATACGACTACCCACAGCTAGCCGAGGAAATCCTACGAGAGCTCAGTAACAAGGAGTTCAACAGCAACGACAACAGGGGCCCCAAGTCCGTCTCGACCTTCATGATCAAGCTTTCCGAGCTGGCACCCAGAATCATCATCAAGCAGGTGACCCTGCTGGCCAAGCAGCTAGATAGCGAATCGTATACCCTACGTTGCGCTTTGATCGAAGTCTTTGGCAACATGTTGATACACCTTAGCAAGTCGGCCGAAAGAGGCGAAAACCACAAGACCCAGATGAACGCCTTCTTTGATGTCTTGGAAGAGCGATTCCTCGATATCAACCCTTACTGTCGTGTCAGGGCCATTCAGGTTTACGTCAAGCTCTGCGAGTTGGAGCAAAAGTTTCCCAAGCGACGACAGAAAGCCGCAGAGCTCGCTTGCCGCAGTCTCGAGGACAAGAGCAGTCACGTCAGGAGGAATGCCATCAAGTTGCTCGGCACCTTGATCAGAACTCACCCCTTCACGGCTTTACACGGTGCCCAGTTGGCCCGGAAGGATTGGCAAGAGCGCTTGAACAAGGTGGAAGAGGAGCTCAACGCGTTGAAGCCACCAGTGGATGCTCCAGGGCTGGATGGTGAGGCTGGCAACACCTCGGTAGACCCAGCTCTCCTTGACGAGGCAACCCAGATGATGGAATCCCCCAGAAAGCAACCATCAGAGATGACGGAGGAGGAAAAGATGGCAGCCATTCGCAAGGCCCAAGAAGAAGCAGCCACCTCGGAAGCCATCGAGAAGCTCACGCTGACCAAGCGCTACTACAGCGAAGCGCTCAAGTTTATCGACGTCCTCCACGACGCCACCGAGACCGTTTGCCAGTTGCTCGGATCCAAAAACAAGAGCGAGGTCATTGAAGCCATGGACTACTTTGAGGTCGGCGACGCATACAACATCGAGCAGAACAAGATCGGCATCCGTCGTATGCTCAGGCTGATCTGGACCAAGGGCAACAGCGATGAAGGCAAGGGCGTGCAAACCCATCTGATCGAGTGCTACAAGAGATTGTTCTTCGAGGCGCCTGGCAACTTTAATGCCAACGATGCGGCGACGTACATTGCAAGGAACATGATCAGTCTGACGTTTGGCGCTACTCCTGCCGAGTTGACTTCGCTGGAGCAGCTGCTGAGCACCATGATGAAGTCGGGCATGATCTCGGACTTGGTCATTGCCAAGCTGTGGCAGGTGTATGGCGTGCAGAAGCGGGACATCTCGAGGACACAGCGTCGCGGCGCCATCATTGTGCTGGGCATGCTGGCCACCGCCAATCCCGAGATTGTGGTGGGCGAGATGGAGACGATGCTTCGTACTGGTCTCGGAGCCCACGGCCGGGCAGACCTTCAGCTGGCCAAGTATACCTGCGTCGCTCTTCGCCGCATCAACCCCACAGGTCGTCAGTCCAAGGATTCCGCTATCAAGTTCTCCCGGCTGCCAAACGACCATGCCCTCCTCACCAAGCTTGCTGCCATCACCGAGGTGCCCACTGACAGCAAGGAATGGTATGGTGTTGCCGAACAAGCCATCAATGCCATCTACGCCATCGCCAAGCACCCCGACGTTCTGTGCTCCGAAATCATTCGCCGCAAGACCAGGGCCGTGTTCGCTGGCCCGCCCAAGTCGCGTTCGGCTTCTTCCCATGAGGAGAAGCCGCCATCACCAACAGAGCCCGCAGCAGAGCCCACGCCAGCTGAAGAGCCCAACAACCCGGACGCCATGGACGAGGACGAGCCCATATCCGTCCAAGCACCAGCCGCTACCCAGCCCGAAGATGCCGAATCCAAGAAGCAACACCGAGAACACGCCATCGCGCTTTCGCAGCTCCTCTTTATTGTCGGCCACGTAGCCATCAAGCAGATCGTTCACTTGGAACTATGCGAATTGGACTTCAAGCGCCGTAAACAAGAGAAGGAGAAGGCAGCTGGAACGACAAACAAGCGCACATCTCTTTCGGCCTCGGCCTCCGCCAACCGCCGCAAGTCAGCCGGCCCCAAAGCCACAAAGGACGAAGAAGACCAAGACGAACTTGACCTCATCGGCGGCACCACCGAAGACGACTTCACCGAAGCCATGTTCCACATCCGCGAGCGCGAACTTCTCTACGGGCCGCAATCCCTTCTCGCCATGTTCGGCCCCATGGTGTCGGAAATCTGCGCAAACAACACGACGTACCGCAACCGCGAACTCCAACAAGCCGCCACCTTGTGTCTCGCCAAGCTCATGTGCGTGTCGTCGGAATACTGCGAAGCCAACCTTCCTCTGCTCATCACCATCATGGAGCGCTCCGTCGATCCTACCGTGCGCTCCAACGCGGTTATCGCGCTCGGCGACATGGCGGTATGCTTCAACCACCTCATTGACGAAAACACCGACTTCCTCTACCGTCGCCTGTCGGACCCCGACCCGTCGGTCAAGCGCACCTGTCTCATGACACTCACCTTCCTCATCCTGGCCGGCCAAGTCAAGGTCAAGGGCCAGCTGGCTTCAATGGCGCTCTGTCTCGAAGATGGGGATAAGCGCATCGCCGACTTGGCCAGGATGTTCTTCACGGAGCTTTCGACCAAGGACAACGCGGTGTACAACCACTTTGTCGACATGTTCTCTTTGCTTTCTTCGGACGCCAGTCTGGAAGAGGAAGGGTTCAGGCGGGTGGTCAAGTTCCTGCTCGGCTTCGTGGAGAAGGACAGACATGCTAAGCAGCTGGCGGAGAAGCTGGCGGCGAGGCTGCAGAGATGCGATACGGAGAGACAGTGGAATGATGTCGCTTTTGCGCTGGGACTCTTGCAGCATAAGAATGAGGAGATTGCCAAGGTTGTGGCGGAGGGGTTCAAGGTCGTTCCGACTGGGCCGGGGCAGGGGCAACAGGGGGTGCAGGCCACTCAGGCTACGCAGGCGAGGGCTTGAGGAGGGATGGGAGGTCGGTGGTGAATGATGTTATGTGGTGAGAGGTTGAAGGAGTGGAAAGGTCTTGGCAATACGAGTATGGTTAGGATATTGGGATTTGGATGAACGGCGTTAGGCGTATTGAGTATTTTATACCTAGGGATAAAAAGAACATGGAATGCTGTTTCGGAAAGTCATGGATGGTAGGTAGCTGGTAGGTAGGTAGGTAGGTAGGTAGGTAGTGCCAAAAAAAAAAAAAAAAGTCGAAAAAGTCATGCCCCCATGCGGGATTGAACCGCAGACCTCATCATATCGTAGTTGCACTTTCCCGAGGTCGGGAAGATTTACGAGTGATGCGCTCTACCACTGAGCTATACGGGCTTGAACCCTGTTATGTTTGTTGAACTAGTAAAGCTAGGATAATCCTTATCAACATCAAACCATGGAAATGTCTGGACCAAAACACTGAACAACTGCCGGCGCATGGCCCTTTAACAAAACTTAAGCAAACTTCCATGTCATGAGAAAACTTCCAAGAGAGCATTCACATTTTGGCATTGCGTCAAACTTGAGTATATCTCGATCGATCTTATCCCCAGGTATAAAACCCTCAATACGTAGTCTGTCTGCTTGTTGATATGTAAAATTAGGTAGCATCATGCCCATCGATGGTCCCGTCCTCCTCCTCCTCTTCCCCCTCATCCTTATCTCGGAAGAGTTACGTCACCTTGACAACCGACTCTGGGGATGGATGGATGGAGAGACGATGAAATCTACCAGGCTATGACAGCGTCTACAAGAGGAATGAATGGATGGAACTAAATATTAAATCCCGTCCCGACCCTTGCACTGTTTGTTTTTATCATCCAAGGTGTGGTATAAATATTTCCAACAAGTCTCACCTCCGAGCATTATCTGTACCAAACATACATATATACCTACCTACGATCAACCAAGACAAAAACACTATGTTAACCCGTCTCGTCTTCTTCCGGACTCTGCTCCGGCCCCGCATGGCCTTTTTCCATGCCCGCGGCGGCGGCCCTCGCCAGCCGGTGGTGACCAAGGCACAAAAGAAGAATATACATCACAAGAAGGGCGCCAACGGCCAGAAGGTGGAAGATGATTTCGGTGGACCGAGCGGACAGGAGGTGTATCCTTTTGCTAATGCTGTTCATCGGTGAGTCTTTCCAGTCTCTGTCCTTTGTGTAGAGCAGAGCAGGTCTGAATACTGGTTGTTGTAGGATGTAATGATCCCTTGGGCTTCCATCCCCTTGATCCCCTTTCGTTCACGTTTGAGGAATCAATGAAAGAATGAATACTAACAAAGTATCCATGATACAGAAAGTACGCAACGCGCACCGCCGTCGGCGTGGCGGCCACTTGCGCGGTGCTCTACACCTCTAAAATGCTGGAGCGCAAGGGGTTCTATAACCAGCCTGGGGATCAGTACGTGTTGACGCATGATAACACCAAGGGAGAGCTGGGGGATGTGATGAGGTTGAGGGTGAGGAATGGGCAGGTTGTCTAGTAAGCATGGGAGACGAAAGGGAAGAATGGGGCTGCACGGAAAGAGATTGATCTACGGCGTTGATGATGAGTCTGTTAAAAGAGAGTATATCTCTGGTACATGTAAGTGTTAGTGTAAATAGCGACCGTTAGCGGGAGACGCGCTGAAAGATACGGGACAAGCGTTAAGATTATGATCTGGCAACTATTACAGTTACCCCGCACTGGCGACTGATCCATGGAAACCCAACTTGCCTCGTTCAACCTTTTTCGCTTTGCGTGTTCAAACCTCAACAACAAGCCAAACAACCCACGACCCGCGATCCTAACCGCGCACAATGACCACCCATACCTGCTGCCGATCCAAGCGAAAACCCTGAGCTATCGTCTATCTTCCAATCGGACCGCCCGCACATGCCTCCGTCCTCGATCGCATCCTCCTCCGAGCTCGAATAACGGCATTACAACGACGCGTCGCCGACGTCCCTCTGTCGCCTCCCTCGCCTCCGTACCCGCTCACGGCCCCTCCCCGTTTCAGATGATCTGCGTATCTTCCAACTCGGCGAGTACGTCCCCGTCCTCCTGCTCTCCGCTCTGCGCCGACACCGACACCGACGCCGGCGCCCTCTCTTTCGGATCAGCGGCATAATACGACGGCGGGCGCATCTCGCGATCGCGCTGTTCTCGATGTGCCGGCATCCCTGAACTCCTTTCGTGGAGAGTCGAATCGACTGGGGTTGGCTTTCCCCCATCGGCTCACTGGCATGCTACCTCTTGGACCTTGTGTGGACAAAGTAGCAAGATCGAAGCACGCCGGTCTTGCAGTCTCGTCGCTCCATGTCCATCGCGGTCGCTCTGAATACCTAGCAAAAAGGTTTGGGTATTCTCTTGCGCCGTGCGCCCGTGTTTCCCGTCTCGGTGTCCCCGCTCATCTCTAGCATATATACATTACTCAGTATCACCGACGCTGCTCACCTTGGCAGCGCCACCAAAGCGTTATATAAACGTCCCCAACTCTGCCCTAGGCGTCGGCACCGCCAGTTCAGCCCTCGGCGTCCCTTGTATCACCCCCGACCCCCTCGGATTTGTCATAATCTCAAACGGTCCATACTGGTGCTGCTGCTGGTCTTGCCATTGCCCTGGTGGCATCCCCCTCTGCGTATTCCCTTGCAACTCAACCGGCACCACCCTCTCCGTCATCAACTCCATCGGCTTATAGTACTCGGCCCCATTCTGCCCGACAACGTACGAATACGGACGGGTATCCCCTGGTGCCTCGAAACGGGTGCTGTCATGTGGTAGTTCGGCGAGGTAATCGGGCGGACTTCCCAGATCTCTGCTCGTCGTGTCTTGGTCGCTTCCACTTCCACCTGGGTTGCCACCATCTGATGGACCTGCGGCTTTCTCGGTGACCGCGGCTTTCCTGCGACGGCGGAGAACGATCCAGATCAGGACGGCGAGGAGGGCGCATGCAAGAGTGGCGGAGACGCAGATGCCTGCTATGGCGGCGGTGGAGATGCTTGGCGACGAGTCTGGAGTGGGCGAGGGGACTGCGGGTATTGACGATGCTGTGCTCGAAGGCACAGGGATGCCGGGGAGGGGCGTCGATGCCGATCCGGCGGACGCACCCTGTGACCCTTCCGGGTTTGGAAGGGCCGATGGCTGCATGGTAACTGCCCCGGCGGCCCGAGTGGTGGATGACGATAAAGGACCCAGCGTCACTGTCGATAGCTTGCCGCTCTCCGAGATGGTAGCCGTCACAACGACGGCGGGGTGGAACAAGTCATCGTATTGGATGTTGCACCGGACGAATTCCTCGGTGGCTTCATATTGGTCGGAACAGCTCGTCAAGCGCGGGCAGCACGCTTTTGAGACGCCCTTTTGGAGGTTGGTACAGGGAACGGCGTTGGGCTCGTCGCAGGACGAGGCCTGGTCGACGTAGCAGTTGCTCGTGCCGGTTCTAGTGCTGAGAACGTTTAGGAGCTGTGGTGTGCACTATGGTGAAGAGGCTTGGATGGTGCATATGCAGCATCTCTCCAATAGGATTCACCTATAATCCATCATGACGCACAGAGCATATTTGTTATAGTTGAGTAGAAGCGGTAGAAGCTTCTGGTTAGGGCGCTGGCGGGGACGTGGGCTAACGCCTACGTGCATTCAGGAGTGTTGTGGTGATTTTGACAAACGACAGTGAACCTTCGATATGACGGGATTCCGAACGTTGACTGGGAACCAACAGTGAGTGAGCTTTATCTCGACATCGCTCGACTCCTCTCTCCCGGTTTTTGGGCCTTGGCAGCCATGTGTTCATCAACAAAATTTCAAGTCTCTCCGCTGGGAATCGCCTTGGTTTTCGCGTGTATTATTGTTCCCTTTTACATTTACGGAGGAGCTGGACTCTGGGATGTGGCACCATCACCACCTCAACACCATGCCGGTTCCCTGGCAAGCACAACGCCGGAGAAACCCCGGGAGCGTCCGCTCGAGATAGTGGTGGCCAGCATGAAGCATGAAGACACCAACTGGGTTCACGAATACCTGCCGGACTGGCCTGCGAGCATTTACGTGGTCGACGACCCTGGTGCTCCCCTGACGGTCCCAAAGAATAAAGGGCATGAGGCCATGGTCTATCTCACGTACGTTTGTTTACCTTGGTATTCACAAGCCTGCCGGAAAAAAGTCACTAACGACCTTCAGACATATCATCGACCGCTACGACACCCTTGCCTCCACCACCGTCTTCGTCCACGCCCAACGCTTCGCCTGGCACAACGACGACCCCGACTATGACGCTCTCGTAACCCTCCGACACCTCCAAACCCCCTACGTCCAAGCCTCGGGCTACGTCAATCTTCGCTGCGTCTGGATCCTCGGCTGTCCCGCCGAGGTCCGCCCCGTCCAAGACGCCAAGGATTCTCCGGAGCTGAACCTTTCCGACTCCGAGCTCACCCTCAAGGACGTCTTCAAGTCCGCCTTCCAGCAGATCTTCCCGGGAATCCCCGTCCCCGAAGTCGTCGCCGTATCCTGCTGCTCCCAGTTCGCCGTCTCCCGCGAAACCGTCCACAGCCGATCGCGCGAGGACTACATCCGGCTTCGCAAGTGGCTGTTGAACACGGAGCTGGACGACAGTCTGTCTGGCAGAGTGTTTGAGTATACGTGGCATATCATCTTTGGGAAGACAGCCGTTTATTGCCCGGATGCGGGCGAGTGTTATTGCAAGGTGTTTGGACTCTGTGGGCTCAAGGGGTGCAGTCAAGATGGGTGCGCAGGGAGGTATACCCTGCCCACGGTCGCGACGCTGCCGAGCGGGTGGCCGAGGTTGGGGTGGGAGGGAGAGGATAGGGGGTATCGCGGTCCGCTTGTTTGATGCACATGATGGAAACATGGCGAGATTCCATGTTGCATGTGGGTTGGCGTGGCTGGTGGTGCTGGACCTGATCTGGAGGGGTTCATGTTCCCGCATCGGGACAGGTTGTGGGATGAATAAAATGCAATGCTCGCACGCCGAGGACTACGGACATCCGTTGCATTTATTTCCCACGACACATACCTCTATCCTGCGGGAGTCGGAATTGCGGCGACTACGGGAACGATGATGCATGCAATCTGGCCTTCCAGTCATGCCCGAAAATTTTGCAAAGGAAATATTTCCGGCAAAGAGGTGCATGCAGCCATTTTTTTCCCCCTGAGTTTAAGAGGGAAAGGAATATAAAAAGGAGAGGCCATCAACGAATCCTCCTTCGCCTGGAACCTCTAAGAATTCTTTCTTCACCAACGGCCCATCGAACATACCACACCTGAATTTATATTTTATACCAGACACCACCACCCACGATGGAAATGCACATCACACTTCCTTACATGGCGGGCTC